TTTGCACTTGCTGCTCAACTAAAACTGCAAGTATTTCAATTTGATGTGAAATCAGCTTTCCTAAATAGAGATTTAGAAGAATAAGTTTATGTTGAACAACTATAAGGATATGTGATAGAAAGAAATGAGGAGAAGGTTTACAAGTTTCAAAAAGCTTTGTATGGCCTAAAGCAAGTACATCGGGCATGGAATAGCAAGATTGATAAATATTTCTGTAAGAACGGATTTAAAAAAAAAATCCAAATGAGCCATTACTCTATATCAAGAAGGAAGGCATGCATGATTTTATCAATCTTGGATAAAATGTTTCAAATGTCAACCTGTAAACCCCTAGCTTCTCCTATAGCTGCCAATGAAAAGTTGTCAAAGGAGGATGAAGCAAAATTAGTAGATGCATTAATCTACAGAAGCCTTGTTGGTTCCTTGATTTATCTCACCAACACAATGCCAGATATTGTTCTTGCTGTGAGCATTGTTTCAAGATACATGAACAAGCCTTGGGGCAGCAAAGAGAATACTCGGGTATGTGAAAATAACCAAGAACTTTGGGCTGAAATATGAAAGTGAAAATGACTACAAGCTTATTGGATTTTCAGACAGTGATTGGGCTGGTTCCATAAATGACCAAAATAGCACATCTTGATATGTTTTCTCATTGGGAAGTAAAATGATCTCTTCATCATCGAAGAAGCAAAATACTGTGGCACTATCTTCAGTTGAAGCGAAATACATTTCAGCCACTAGTGCATCTTGTGAAGCAATTTGGTCTATATGACTTTTGAAAGACCTTCAATTTGTGCAAGATGACCCAACTACAATCTACTACGACAACACTTCAGCTATTGCAATGACCAAAAATCCAGTTTTTCATGGAAGAACAAAACACATTGAGTTGAGACACCACTTCATTAGAGAGTCAACTGAGAAAAGAGTGATTGAATTGAAGTTCGTCAAGACAGAAGATCAAGTTGCTGATATCTTTACCAAGTCCCTATCTTCTGACAAATTTTTGCATTTTAGATCTTAAATGAAATTTACAAATTAAGATGGGGTGTTGAAAAGTAATAGTGGTAATTTTGTAATTTTCCTTTATGTTTTGTCTTTTGTATTAAGTGGGTTGTCTTGTTAGTTGGAAGCTGAAAGGTATCTACTGTAAAAGTAAAACTCCTATATATTTCTTGTAATCTGAAATGTTTTGTAAGAGAGCTCAAGAAGCTAAGAATGAAGTAAACCCAAAACTCTACGTAGGCTTTTCATATTCTTTTATTATTTTCCTTATTCCATATTCCTCTTCTCTTCTACTAATTTTTTGGTTCTTTCTTTGATTTTTACCACCACACTTCAGTTGCTCAAACAAAGACACCTCCAAATGCCATTTCGGAAAATATATCTCAAGTCAGCGGCTCCATCTCTTCTCGATAAAGTCAAATGGAAGAGCGAGAGAGAGGGAGGGGAGAGAGAAAGTGTGTGTGAGAGAGACACAGAGGGTAATATTAGATTAAAAAAATTATTGTCATATTTCTATAGATTTTGGCGAAATATTAATGGATGTTAATAATATGGGCAGAGTTAGTCAATTGTTAGAAACATTAGAAATAGTTTAATACAATAGTTAAACAGTATGAATAGAGTTTGTCAATTAGGCGTCTGTTTGGCATCGATGTCGTTGCTAGGGGTGTCTATGAAAAACCGAATCAAACTAAATGCGGTTAATTGAATCGATCAGTTCAATTTTGGTTTGGATTTTTTAAAAAACCGAAGGACTGATTCTGCTTTCAGTCAACTTACAAAAAAACCGCCAGCTAACCAAACTGACCGGTATATATATTTATATGTATATTATATAAAAATATATATTCATTATATATATAAATATATACTTATATTATGTTTGTAATAATCTATTTATAAATATATTATATATTTTTAAAATATTTATAATATATTGTATATCATTTATTATTTATAAGATAATATTATACATATATTTATATAATATATATTATAAATATAAAAAAACTGATAAAACAAAGAATCGAACCGGTCAAAAACCGAAATCGACAGACCGGTTAACTAGTGGTATCGGTTCCGTTTTGGTTTGGAGAAATGAAAAAAATGGTACCACCGGTTCAGTTTGCAAAATATGCCCATGGTTCGGTTAACGAACCGTGGACACCCCTAGTTGTTGTTCTAGAAAACGGCGACACATCAACACCACGTCGAAAAAAACGGTTCTCCAGGAAACACCTGTTTGTTTGGAATTGTTTTTTCATAAAAAACGGTGCTCCAAGCCACACCTTGGAAATCAGGAAGGCATGGCTTGGAGCAACATCGAATTTGGCATTTCCTGGAGCTACAACTCGTTGTTGCCAATAGGGACATGAGGTGGCAGTGATAGGGACATGACGTGGCACTGGATAATAGGTACCAGTGCTGAAAGCGTTTCCTAGAGCATTGGTACCAAACAGAAAACGTTGTTCTTGCTCTAGGAAACGTCCTATATGGCAACAATGTTTCCAAACAAAAAAAAAAAGACACCATCATAAAACATTGCTTTCAACCCACACATTAGTAAGGGTAGTGAGAAATTTGCCCTAATTAATTTACTATACATTACTACTAATCAATAGAAATATCAATATTTTTTTTTGGAAATTATCATAAAATAGTGTAATTTATTGTTATTTAAGTTATTATTAGTTAATTAGTTATAGAAAATTATTAGCATTGTAGGGAAGGCAATTTTCCCTCTAAAAATGGCGCCTTACCTCGTTCTGTACATTTAATATTAATTTTTAAAATATCTCTAAGGTTTCCTTATATTCTTATAATCCTAGGATTCCATAATTTTATTTATAAAATAACCCCAAATTATCATAATCCAATTCCTAAAATACACCAAAATTCTCATAATCCTATTTGGAAAATATCTATAAATTAGATTTTTTAAGTGGTTGTCTCTAGGTGTGAGAAAAAAACCGAAAAACCAAACCCACCGAAATCAAACCAAAAACTTGTTTAATCAAACCGACCGGTTCGGGTTTGGTTTCGGTTTGATATTCTTAAAAATCGACAATTCCGGTTCGGTTTTGGTTAACTTAAAAAAAACGGTGGTTAACTGAACTGACCGGTATATGTATACTAATAGTCTATATATTTTTAAAATTGAATAGGCTTCTCGCAGATTTCTAATATATAATAAAATATAATATATTATAATTTATATTTTATTTTTAAGTATAGTTCTCTATCGTATAATATATTATATTTTCTCTTTTAACTTTTAAGTACAGTCTTCTGTCGTTTTCTCTTTTCGGTGTTTCAGCTTTTCAATTTTCATGATTTGTATATTATATTTCCTATTGTAGACTTGCAGATCTAGAGTGATACGTGTCCACCTGCGACGCGCCATCCCTATGCAATTTGACAGTCCGATAGCTTTTCATGATTTTCTCTCTTTGAATCAAATTAACTTAAATGGCTAAACGTCTTTCCCTTTCTTTCTCACTCTTAGTTCTAAGTCTCTCATCTCCATAGTCTTCTTCTTCCCCAAATCGATTAAAGGCCTCCGAGTCTCCGATCAACGACCTTCGATTTCTCAGTCTCTCATCTCTTAGTTCTCTCTCTCATACTAAACACCTTTCCATTTCTCTCTCACTCTCAATTCTCAATCTTTCATCTCTCTAGTCTTCTTCTTCCCCAGACCGATCGATGACCTCCGGGCTCCGATCGACAGCCTCCGAGTTCTCAGTTCTCATCTCTCATCTCTCTTCTTCTTCTCCAATGGGAAAAAAATTATAGATTGACTGACGACCATCTCTCTCTCTCTCTCTCTCTCTTATTTTGAGTGCATAAAAAACTGAAAAACTAAACTGCAATTAACCGATCCATCGGTTAATCGGTCGACCGGTTAATTGGTTGCAACGGTTTGGTTTTGGTTCGAATATTCAAAAAACCGATCAGATCAATTCGGTTAAAAAAATAACCCCACGGTTCGGTTAACTGAACCATGAACACCCCTAGTTGTCTCGGGAGGGGGGAGGGGATTTGAGGATTCCCTATCCCTGATGGGGAATGGGTGCCTTGCCTTGAACCCGCCCTGCCACTTGGGCTGGGGCAAAGATGGAGTAGAATGTCTTGACTTATAGGAGCGGAGGACAAGGAGGGGTGCCTCATCCCATACATCGCGTGTGCCCTCAAGCCAATCAGACTTAAAGGCCTACTTAGGCCATGCCTGCATTGTATGGAATTCACATCTACACCCCAAAGAAGACGCCCTACAAACACCCCATAGTATATCCCAATCATGTATTGTATTGGAAATATCTCCCACTAGTAACTTGGGGAGATGTCCCATATGCACGCTGAAATGTGCATCTGGGGCGTTTGTGGGGCACAAATGTGATCTCCATTGTATGTGGACTTGATGCAAGTTCGGATTGAGCAAACCATATTGGAGGACATGTGTCATATCACACAAATTTGAAGAGGGGTTTAGGTTTTAGAATAAGAGGTTATAATTTAAAGGTTAAAGTTTAGATTTAGGGCTTCAATGCACGATTTGAAGGTTAAATTATAGAATTTTAGGGTTTAAGATTTAAGATTAAAGTTTAAGGGCATAGGATTTAAAGTTTTAGGGGGTGTTCTTTTTTTTTGGATTTTGAAAAGGGGGAAGTTGGTAAATGGGGTTTTGATTCCCATTGATCAAGAATCTCATATTTTTTTTTTTAGATTTATGTAACATCAAGAAAAGTTTATTTTCTCCCATCTCTTAGGTAAGTAAATAACTTTCTCACTTAAAGAAAATTATCAATATTTGAATAGAAAAAAATGTCTCTTTCAACAATAAATTTTTATGATTAAAATGATCATTATCTTGAAAAATAAAAAAACATGAATAATAAATGCAATTAGTGGTTTAAGTCTTTCCTCGGCAACACCTACCCAGTTACATAAATTACCGAAAAGCGAACGGGCCTAAAAAGCATGTATAACTTCAATTTTCAAATATCGTGACACTACTCCAGCAAACTCATAAACCTCTCTCCCCCTGCTGCACTATACCTCCTTCCTCGTCCATGGCTTCACTGTACTCGCCATCTTCCATCCTTCATCCGCCACTTCTCCCTTCATCACATCCTCGTCTCCAATTTCGTCGTCGGAATCAGTTATCTCTCCCCTTCTCATCTTCACAGAACTCGCTTCGTTCCTTCGGTGTCCCTCGTTCCTCCCCTGAGATTCCAACTCCTTCAACCGAAGCCCCCATCTCCATCATCACCTTCGAAGATATCGTGGAGAAGGACTGGTCGTTCCTCGAAACCGACGAGACGAACTCCGACGAACAACGTACTCGGAAGACTGACCGGATAATCTCCGCTGGACAAATCAATGGGGACTCTAGGGTTTTGGTTTCTATCGCCACAGAAGAATTTGTCGACCGCTTGGTCGAATCATCGCCGTCGTGCCGGCTTATGCTTTTCGTCCACGACTCTCTATTCGTTTTAGCCGGGATTAAAGAGAAACACGACAGTGTCAAGTGTTGGCAAGGCGAATTGATCAATGTGCCTGAGAAATGGACGCCCTTTGATGTAGTTTTCCTTTGCTACTTGCCTGCTTTGCCCTTTGAACTCGATAAGATTTTCGCTTCTCTGTCCCGACATTGTTCACCAGGTATCTTTCCTCAACTTATCTGATTGTTTTGTTCACCTTCGAGCCTTATAAAATCGTGAAATCTGGAGTGGGGATTCCTTATCAACCTCCAGAAATTGAACTATTACAGTTCGGAACAGAATACCCAAAGATTTTTTTTTTTCATTCATTCATTTTGTGTTTGAATTATGCTTGATTTGTTTTACTCCGAGTTGTAAAATCGCTTGAGTGGTTTTGGAGTAATGGGTCTTGAGATTTGTCTATCTTTTACCGTTTTAGTTAAACTTCTGACTGTGGTTTGCATAGGTGCAAGACTGGTAATCAGCTACTCTCAAGGAAGGGAAGTTGTAGAGAAGCAAAGACAACAGTATTCTGATGTGGTGATTTCTGACTTGCCTGATAGACTTACTTTGGAGAAGGTTGCAGCCAATCATTCATTTGAGATAGCTGAATTTGAAGACGAGCCTGGTTTCTACTTTGCTGTTTTGAAGTTTTGCAGAGAAGGCACCCCGGCAGAGTAAACTGTTGAGTTTGAGCTTCTGTTGTCACCAGGAGTTAAAAGAAACCATGACAACTTCATGTCCAAGAATTGGAAATGGGATCAGTAACTGCCATGGATTCATCTGAGTTTTGAAGTATATTTTGCATAGACAACCTTTTGTATTTTAGGGTGTTACCTGTTGCTAATCAATGCCTGTATTTGTAATTTTCATCTCTGATTAGATGATTTTAGGCCGGAAAATTGTTTTTCTTTTGAACTGTGTTTTTCGTTTTCAAATAAAATGCAGTCCTTTTTTTGATCAGTTTGACAACTTGGGTGTCTCAGTAATAACTCTGATTTCACTCATCTTTCCTTATTTCTTCTTAAAAAAGGAATATTTTTCCTCTCGATAACACTTCTTGCTCTTGTTTCAGACCCCTATAAAGTCTAAACCTATATTTTGATTTTGGATTTCTGAATTTTCTTTTTCTATCATTAACTTCTAAAAATTCTGAGCTTTCTGACTATGAAATCAGATTCGAGATTTAATAATCCTTTTCCTTTTCCTTTTTCTTCTTTATACTTTTACTTTATTTTTCCTTTTTTAGTTGATTGCCTAGTAGTTCTTTTTTTCTTAAGATTGCATGTTAGTTCCTATTTCAGGAAAAAAATAGTAAAACCACCTCCAATCTGTACTTGTTTTTGGTTCCTTATTGGTTCCTATTTCCTGAAGTTTTTCAATAGCCACCGTGTCATTTCTATCTCATTGATATAATGCTTGAACTGGAAAAGGATATCAATCTTTGGACTTTGTGGCACCGTGCCAATATCCCTCGCTAACCAGCAGTCGACCTCCAATACTTCGTTAGTAGTGGGTAAAAGCTGAGCCGTTGTTGATATTTACATCTTGGAACATATAAAACATGTGTGGAAGAATATCATTTGTAGGTTCGGGTTACCTCACGTGCTAGTTTCAGATAATGGAAAACAATTTGATGATATTAGATTCCATAATTGGTGTAGAGAATGGGCATCCACCAGCGGTTCATCTCGTTAAAAGAACTCCCCACTGTACTATGGGCATATTGGACTACGAACAGGATGGCCACCATGGAGACATCCTTCAACTTAACATACGGGACAGAAACTATGATTCCAACCATGATCGAAGTATCCACATTATGGACCGAAACCTATAAGGCAACCATTTGACAGCCCGTGCAGCATGATTGCCAACACGTAAGGCAACTTCGTTAATCAATGGTCCCCATGCTTGCTCCATGCATTCGTAACGTGGTGGGCAAGTTAGTTGAACATGTTATATCCAAGCATCAGGTGGCTTGATGTCCTGAGTCCTGACCAAGTTCCAGGTGCATCCAAAGCCTATATAAAAGTAAGATTAGCATTCAATTCATACTTTATGCTTCATTAAATTTTCACCTACCCCCTTTGGATAGCTTGATGACTAACTTGACCGTTAGAGTTACAAGCATGGGATATCACCCTAGGCCATCTAACCTTATCTTTCCCCTTGCAGGTGAACTCCAAACGACTCCAAGGACCTTGCCAGTTTTGATCCGCATGACAAACCATGATGCTTGTGCTTCTTTGTATCATTGTTGTATTACCTTTGTGTTTATCTATCTAATACTACTATTTTGATTTTTCCCTACACTAGCGTTCATTCTTCAAGTTCAAAAGAATCTTGGACATAAGTCTCTTAGGTTGTGTTTGTTTGAAGTGTAAAGGCAAAACTCCATCGGTGTAAAAGGAGTGGTCCAACATGTAAGCACAAAAAATGAACCGGATAAATGCAGCTTTTACACTGGTGTGCGTTTGGAAGAATAGTGCAAAATATATATACATTTGGATGAACAATGGTGTAAAACTACACCCATGTATTGATGACAAATAAGATTGCCAACACTATAATAACTAAGAGATGAAGCAACAATGCATATATATATATATAACATATTATCTATTGAGATGGGCTTTTGGCGAAGCTCGAGGCAAGGTAGACAAATACACCCCTACCCCGTCCTCAGTCACCAAAATTTTTAAGTTTTCCCAAAACCCACTCAACCTAGTCAACGGTAAATAAAACACCCTGACCAAGGCAGGGTGGGTCGGAGCCTAGGGTATGTTAAATGAGACCAGATCTGTTCCTCACAGAAGGCGCCTCACAAGCATATCCTACCATGCGTTGGGAACATCTCCCGTACTTTTAAGTTATTATTCAAAGGAGATGTTTCTAATGCACGGTGGATGTGCATGTGAAGCGCCCGAGTGTGAGGAGCAGATCCCGTCTCATGTTAGATTGCTATCTCTAACGTTGGCAAACAAAAGTATATCCATCTCACTAGGGCTCCGTTTGGGAAGAGTGCAAATGGCTGTTCAATGCATATATGCACTCTAATTCAATTTTGCTAGTGTTTGATAAGAGTCCATTTATCCCGTTCTGACAAAAAAATAAAAAATAGTCAAAACCGTTCAAATGATTAATCGCCCGGTTCAACAGTTCGCTGACCAAAATCAACGGTTTTGGGGGAAAATCCAATTTTTGGAGAAAATGGGACTGGTCACCTAACCGGTTCCCGGTTTTTCCAGTCCGACCGTCTGATATAGTCACAAAACTAAATCAATTTTGCATTTTCATGAATCAAGCATATTTGTATTTATACTGATAATTTTTGTATATGTACTTTTCCCAAACAGAGAATAGATTATTATTATTAGACTCAGCGTGTTGTACATGTGGAAATGGAAATGCCCCAACATGTAGATTCACACAAACTGCTTTTTTACTTCCGGCAATGAGCATGCAACAGGGTTGCAACTGACAAGGGAATGGTAGTGCTTTCGTGTCACTTCAATGTTAACCCTTTTTTTTTGTTTTTGCAATGGGTGAATGCCACTTAGATTAAAAAAATATATAAAACACTAAATCAGTCGTGAAGCCAGCTATATGAAATTGCGGTAAGTGAAGAAATAACATAACTAAAAAATGTGTGGCAGAAATCCGTATGCTGAGATGGATGCATAGAAAAACCATAAGGACATGATTAGAAATAAAGTTATTTGAAGGAGCCTAAAGAATAACTCGAATGGGTGATAAAAGGAGAGAAAGTAGACCCAGATTGTTTGATCACATGAATAGAAGACTATATGGAAGATCTGTAAGAAGAGGTGATTTGTTACAAGTTGAAGGTGCTAGAACTAAAAGGTAGGGGTAGACAAAAAAGAAATGGGCAGTAGTAACAAATATGATGAATGTCATTAAACAAAATGGAATGGCAAAACAGATTCATGTATCAGACCCCATATAGTTGGGATAAGACTTAGATGATGAAGAGGATGTGATGGTATAATAGATAATAAGTAATAGTAATGATAACCCAAATGGAGGCCAAAAATGAAATCAAGCAAAAATTATCTTCCCAGAGGAAGATCTATAAACACAACTGTGTGCAGAGATATAATATCAGCAAACAGAAAGGCTTTCAAAAATGTACCACTCGCAATTTTCTTTTTTCCTCTAGAAGAAATAAAAAAGAAACAAGACACATTTAGACTTTGGAATGAGAATCAACTGAGGATGAATACATGGTAAAATTGGAATTCTCAAAGACGATTATTATCTAATGAAATACTACAAGTGCTCACTCCTTCATAACCAAAGAAAGGAACAGGGACGGAATTCTAACAGCCACCTTGGTTCTTCCCATAGTATATCAGAAGAACGAAAACCTTGTCCCATTACTTGCCGCAAACAAACTGTATTCTTCAACAGTTATCTCTTTCTTGGTGCAAGTATGATCATCCAGAGCAGGATCTGCTGGYGAATTCGATGAAAAATCCCCAACTGTTCCCTCTTTTAAGGGCCCTGGATTCAAATTATGTCCATTTGCCACTGCCACAGGCCCACCAAAATGGAATAATGAGAAGTTTTTGTTGTCATTGTACAGTTTAGCAGTCCTAGTAAGACCATCTTCTCCACGTGAAGGTGTTGCTGTTGGAGTCTGACCACTTGGTGCTATTTTCTCCAGGGGACATTCAGTTGTCACTGTATCGGCTACACTAATGGCGGCATCCTGTGCCCCACCAAGTTTAGCATTCTTGCTCTGCTCCTTTGAGGTTACACCATTGACTTTGTTAACAGGCTGATAGACCGGAAGTTGGGCCACATTAAGCAATGGAGTTCTCAACTGTTGTATACCACTGTATTGCATGCAGAAGTGTGAAGGCTGGTTCGTTGATAGGCCATACCCTAAAGGGCTAGTGAAGATGTAGCCACTGGGTTGGGGAAATGGCATTAGCCCATTTGCTGCAGGAGCTGAAGGCCAAGAAGCTCGATTCTGATGGTAGTAACTCACGGTGGAAGGTGCTGGGAACACAGGCAAATGTATGCTTTGATTATGCATTGGTGGAAGCACATTGTGCTGCTGAGAACCCATATCAACTGTAATTCTACCAGTATCGGGAGGACGGGAACATTTTATTTGTAGGTCCACTGTAAAATTGCTTCTTATGACAGAGTTTGTTAATGGAGACCCAACATCTGTCCTGCTTCTGATAGATTCCCCTCCATTTGTACTCTGTTTGTCATCTACTCCAGCATCCTGGCATTTATGAAAACCATTGTCATCACATGTTGAAACATCTCTTCCTTCTGATTGTTGGCTAGCATCTTCTGAATCTGATGTTGACGATGATTCTACATTTTGTGTACTTGAAGAGGTTATACTGCTATCACCTTCACTAAGGCATGAAGAGCAGTTATCTGAACTGGAAGTGCTGCTAACTGAGGGATCAGAAGTACCATTTCTAGAAAAAGAAAGTATAGGACATGATTCAACTCCATCAGCAGCAGCATTCTTTGAACAGTAAGGGGCCTTTGTTTCCAAACTAAATGCACTCTGGCAGCCCTCCTCCACTCTTGGGCTGGAGTTTTTGGATTCCTTCCCATTAGTGTCCTTGTTACCTTGGCATTTATCTGAATCACCACCATCTCCTGAATTTCCAGAATGTTCATAAAGATACAGCTCATCTGTTGACTTGAGAATGCTATCAGGTTGTTGCAATCCAGTCTCATCTTGATTGCATTTATCATTTTCACATTCATCGACCTTGATAGTAGATAAATTCAGAGTAACATCGGGATCTGAGTTGCTGTGGGAGTACCTTTTCCGCACATCCATTGGCTCCCATACTTTCTTGGTATGAAACACATCTCTGCTAGGAATGCTTCCTGAGATGACCTTGCTTTTGGGATTTCCACAACTATCAGACATAGAAGATCCATGATTATACTTGTTATTGCGTGGCCTAGGCAAATCAGATGCAGATTCTGACTTGTTCATGGTTTTGCTCTCCCTACAAGATCTGATAACAGAAACATGAGAGGCATCTTTTGCTCTGTAATCATTATGTTGATTACAGCTGCAGAAATGGAATTCATTTCTATCACGCATCTTGAAACAGTGAAATTTCTCACCAAACCTAGGACTAGAATTTCTTGTGTTTGGTTTAACAGAATTGCTTCTTTGCCTGCCTACTCCATTCATGCACCCGGAAGAAGTTTCTGTATATGTGCCATGACATCTCCGTTCAGATTCATCAAACAGAACCCTGTTGTCATAGACAGTTGAGGATCGGCGTCTATCGCACCATTTGGAAGCTGGATCAATTTGAAAATCTTTCCTGAATCTCAGTTTCCGGCGAGAAGATTTTGATTGCTCAATTGCAAACAAGCCATTCCCATCCTTTGGAAAGATCTTCCCTTCAGCAACATTATATGTGTGCCTTACACTATCATTGTTTGGGTCTGGCACATTGGAAATAGTAGATGCATTAGGGAGTTGTTCATCTTGAATATCTGGAGGCCTGCATGTAACATCTCCAGTTTCACTGACTGAATCCACGGAATTGACAGTATTATTTGGTTTGTCATGAATACTTGGGGGTGAATCGTCCATAGAAGCATCAAGAGTAATTGGGATTTCCTTTGATTCATCACATTTCTTTTCTCTTTCCTTTTCTTTCCCTTTTAATCTCTCTTTCCTTCTGAGCTTTTTCTCTCGTTCTTTTGTCCTTCTCCTCTCCTTTCGCTCTTCTTCCTCACGCTTTTCTTTCTCTTCTTCCTCAAGAAGCTTGATCTGCAGTGTATAAGCAAATGGCATGGAAGTCACTAATATCTCTCATCTCAAAACTAGAAAGAAACTTGATAATTAATTGACAGCATTGGGTACCTGCTTTTCTAAAGTGATAATTTCTTTGCATGCAACATGAACACGTTCTTCCAGCAATTTTAGCGCAAGACAGACAAATATACTATGTGCATTTTGGCGAGCTGTTCCTTCTCTGAAAGCCTTTTCTACCTGGAAAAAGCATATAACTGGCATTAGGTTATGCACACATTTGGAAAAATACGAAGTAAGGTATATGAGATTATGCAGTGTGTGCTAATTATATTTCTTTCTTCTTGATGGAAAAGAGGACAGGCCATGGAGAGCATGCTTCATAGTACAATAACTCACATAAGAATTGTTCCCATCACAACTGTCATATTCTTCATCACAACAAAGACTTATTCTTAATATCTGTTCTAGGCTACAGAGATTTTTTTTTTTATAAATAACAAATACTTTTATTAAGAGATATTAATATAGAAAAATACAAAGGGAGGGGTAAACTCTTAACCCTCCCAAGAGAACATTTCAGATTACAATGTTGCCCAGAACAAATTATCTCTTCCCACCCCTTGTTTAGCYAATGMATCTGCCAAGGAATTGGCACACCTCTTAGTCCACTGAAATTTGACTTCCATATTTTGTACGAGAGATCTAATTTTCTTCTTTTCATTCAGAAACTTCCACAAGCTAGAATCATCTTTCATTAACCAGTTGATAGTCAATTTASAATCACCTTCCACTATCAGGTTTCTAATATTTAATTCTCGAGCTCTTTTTAACCCTTCCATAACAGCCAATATTTCAGCTCTAAGAGAGTCCCCCCAGTCAACAGGACCCGAATACAGTGCGATAATTTGACCTCCATCATCCCTGAAAGCTCCCCTATACCCGACAGACCTGGATTTCCTTCGCTGCTTCCATCAAAGTTTAATTTAGTGAACCCTAAAGCTGGAGGGGACCAAACTGGGTGAAATACATTCTTCCTTGGAACTGACCAAGCCATTTCTTTCCACTTCCTGATGATATCTCCTTCTGAATAGTTTTCAAAAATGTGCTCTTAGCCCACTGAATCACCCTTATGGACTTTTATGGAAATTAGATCAGTAATTACACCTTTATTTCTTTCTTTCCCATGAAAGGTCCGTTGGTTCCTTTCCTCCCAAACTGTCCAACATACAGCTGCTCTTACACATCTCCATAGAATTTTCCCTCTTCTTCAGCCCCCTAACAGTAGTAGAATGGAATAGGCTACAGAGAATTTATTAACCAATTCCAGTTGAATAGTACAACATATATTGTCTAAAGTTGAGTTTATATGACAAGACAACATTAGAAAATGAAGCTCACAGCTGGCTGTTATTATGGCTGAAAATGTGATCCTAAGGAATATGGGCATTAATTCATCAATGAAGGTGCAGTACCATGAACAAAAATGAGCATTTTCTCTTGTCCAGGAGATTCTTCACCACAGAAAACTTGGAATGCAAGGTATTAATTAATATAATCTACTAACGCTGTAAAAGCATTCCAAAAAGTTACCTATACTTGCAAAAGAATGCCCCGACAGACCAATAAAAAGCCAAACATTTACTAGTAGAGAATATGCTGAAAGTAGCATTAGATTTAGTTAGAAGTATACAATGCTAATTAAATGCAACTTGGAACTTTGGTGACTTCTCCTACTCTCACCTTGTTACATGGAAACCCCATCTAATAGCATGCATATGTATACATTTTTTTATCGGTAACATGCATAAGTCTATTGGCATCAAAGTTTCCCCCTTCTTTCTCGGTTTCTCTAATTTATTTATTTATTCCTTTGATGGATTCCAGTTATAATCAATTCCCCATTAGATGCATAGGCCTAACTAAAATGAAAATACATGACACACTACCGGTTTTCTAAGTTCATAATGGTATTAACTCTTTCCTGCAATCTGAAAAACATAATGAACAGGCATAACAAATTGCATCACAGCAATGCAAGACTTCACACTGGATGACAATGGGCAGTAAAGGTCTCAATTACATGGTGTGGGAGAAACTCTAGAATATTGAAAAACAAGGAATTGAGTTTGATATCATCATTGATCTAATCCTAGTAGGAGTGGCCCAATGCATGTTGAAAAGGGAGGAACTTAGAGAGATTTTCATTGATTCTATGCCTGGGGGTTGAGCTAACTGTGACAGCAGGTAGCTCAAATATTATTGCCATATGCAATGCGACAAATAAAATGAACTTTGATGGCTGTTGCCTGCCATCTTGGTAAGCCAGGCCCATCAGTCGTTGTAGGAGTGTTCAGAAATTAGGATAGTAGGGTTTTGGCTCTGCTAGTAAAGGGATCTCCATGAAGGCAGAGCCCTTTGCATTGATTCAAACATCAAAGTTGGCCTTTGTAGCAGCATGGGTTGATTTGATGATTGTCAGGTTTTAATATGGTCCTTGACCTAAGGCACTTGACTGGAGCAGCAAGAACATTAGTATCTAATATAAACTGCTTGTTCTCCTAGGTTTTCCAATAAACTCGCTGATTCCTTAGGCCGGGCAGGGCTGATTAAAAAAATAGTTGGGGGTAGGAGTGGAGGGTGGGGGCACCATGCCCCGGGTTGTAAAAAAAAATGATTTTATTTTAGAAGTATTTGTATGCCAGCCTTTGGCCATTTCCATGATGTGTTTCCTTCATTCCAAAACCAATGGAATGCTGGATTTTTCTCTTTGTACTAAAAAATATGATTGTAGTTATTGACAAAAAAAGGGCCTCAATCGCGTATTTCATCCTATTCTGTATTAAGAACACTACAATATGAAGTAACTTGAAGACTTCCCACTTTCCTTTATAGACAAGGCCTAGATTTCCATTATTTGACCAAAATGTAAGCCTTGTTTAACTCCCTTCATGATGTAGATTCTAACTTCAACATTCAACCTTCTTTTTCTTAACCAATTTACGACAAGTACTTGAAACAAAGACATTTCAACTAGATATTTCAATCTTTAACATGGACTCATAACAAGGTTGACATGAAAATCTTCTCCCATGAGTACCTCAAAAGAATCCAGAGGATGGCCAAACCTAAGATCTAATGGATGGCAAACTCACTATTGCCATCTGAGTGTCAATCTTTCCAGGTTGGAAAGTTGTCCAAACTATATGGGGTCGGCTATATGAATCCTGTTCTGCCATTCCATTCTGTTCAGTGACATATCCATCATTAATTTATGGGTACACAAATCATTTCATATTAAATCCACCCAAGTCATTGTTGGTTTGCCCCTAACTCTTCTAGCTCCATCTCGTAACATATCACTTTCTCTAATAGGTGCTGTAGATGGTCTTCTATGCATGTGAGCAACCATCATATATGTAACCCAGGATACCATAGATTACACGATTGCCCAAAATAAAGTGCGTCTATCAACTCCTTCCTTTTCTAACATATTCGCGGATCTGCCAACCCATTTGCTTCCCTTTGTATCCATCCAAAACTAGAATTATATTTTTTGCAAGTAGGTCAATTTGTCTGAAGATAAATCTGAGTTTCCAAGGTGCTGAGTCAATTTGCTTTGCCCATGTTATGACCAGTAGTGAATCCCCTTCAATTTCCAGCTCTCTTGCTCCTAACTACTCGACAACTTTCGATCCTTGAAAGAGAGCCTGAGATTTAGCCTGAATTGAGTCACCAAACCCGATTGGTTCTGAAAACAGTGCCACTTCTACTCCCTGATGATTGGGAAAAACTCCCCCTCTTCCTGTTCTCCCCAAATTACCAAAGGAGTTGCTGTCAAAGTTTAGCTTTAACTTATTTAATCCTGGTGGTTTTCATTCCATTCTTATACTTTCTCTATTGGTTTCTAAAAGTGTCACTTCTCTCCAATTCCTTAGTATGTCACCAGTAGAAACACTTCTGAAGAGCTCCATGTGACTAACCATCTCAATCTTCTTTCTCTCATTTTATCACCTATGGAGCTACTCCTAGGTTCCTTCATATGACTTCATTTCTAACCCTGTCCTTTCTACTTTTACTACTCATCCATCTAGGCATTTGCATTTCTGTCATACTCATTTTTTGGACATGTTGTTCCTTAACTGTCCAACACTCCGCTCCATACACCATATTGGCCTTACAACTGTTTTATAGAATTTTCCTTTTAAGGTGGTATTCACTTATCACATAAGACTTCAGATGCAACCCCGCATTTTGCACAACCTGCTCTAATTCTATGGGTGACATCCTCTTCAATCCCTTCATCGTTGTGAATTATTGAACCAAGGTAAAAAAAGAGGTCACGTGGAGTCATCTCTTGGTCTTCAATCCTAAGTGTACCCTGGTTTGCACTCCTGTTCTTATTAAATTTAAATTGTATATATCTATTTATTTTAAAACCTCCTGTTTCTAAATATCTAATGCAGTTGTTATAAACCAAATTTTGCATTTAATCCTTCACTAGTTTGATCAATTAATATTATGTCATCACCAAACATTGGGCAGCATAGGACCTCCTCTTGCATATTTTCAGTCAATTCATCTATGACTGGTGCATATAAATAAACTTGGTGAAGACCCATTGTAACTAGTGAATTGGATCAGATTGCAACCCTGGTTCAATTGGGTTCTTAGGACTGGATCAGTGTGAGTTATGAACTTGGAAAATAACAAGAGCACCTAGGTTTTTACTTGGACCTACCTATTTTCCCACCCCTTTCTTGCTGAAACCCTTCTACTATTGGCTGTTAAACCATGTATCCAATGGTTTGGATGACCTGGTTACATTGGAAGTCACATGTCATTCCTTTGCCATCCAATTCACCCTGCACGATCCAAGATCACTAGCTTTATTTTCTCTCTGAAGGTTGAACAACTTATCCTGGTCCATTAAAATTTGAAATTAAAAAAAAAGAAAGAAAAAAAGCCTCCCAAGGCAAGTTCATCACACCAATTTGCCCATGTTAAATGTCATGATTTAGCTTCTGGCATCTTCCCTGACCTTGATCTCAGCCTTTTGCCTCATTTCACATGTTCCACCATATGGGGGCAACTGTTCTTCCCCTTACCTGGGTAATTGTTCCCTTCTCTGGCTCCAACTACCTATGATGATTTTCTTAGAAAAAATATGCCCTCAAGGAATTGTACTATGATTTCTGATGCTATACTGTCATAAGTTTCCACCATCAGATCTGACATCTCCTCAACCCCAAACTCCAATAGAACTGAAGATACATATGATAGACACTCCAGCCAAATGTTTTTTATTCGTAAGTGTAGGCGTTTATTAATTATAATAAAGGAATGAATTATGTACCATATGCCACATGTTGATCGAATGCAGAGTGTCACTTACTGCAATGTTCACCATTAAAGGTATTAACCCTTACCATCTGATCTTTATCCTCACCCTTTTGCATGTCACAAGTTCAGGAATTCACATTTTGAGCCATGATGATACTCCCCACAGTAATAACATCAATTATAGTCTGGCTCCATAGGAAAAGGTAGACAATAGGTGGGGATTGATCTTTTCTGTCTGGATCATTTTGTTAGCACCCAATGCATGTGCTCCATCAGTCCAACAAAGTCTTTTCAATATTGGAAAAAATAGGCCCTCCAAATATACTGCCATAAGCTTCTACCATCAGATCCTTGGGCATCATCATCTCCCAAAACTCCATTGGAACTAAAGATACAGATGGCAGAAATTCCAGTGAAATGTTAATCAAATACATAGTTCAACTAAATGCAATGTTCACCATGAAAAGCACTATCCCCTTGCCATCCGATCATCATCTCACCCATTCACATCTTGCAAGTTCAGGAATTAGCATTTTGAGCCAAGATGAAACCCTCCACAATAAACCCAAGTACTTAAATAGTAATCTGGCTCTAGATGAAGGTAGAAAATAGACCCTGAGCATAGGTGGGATTGGGCTTCTTTGTCCGGATCATTTCATTAGCATCCAATGAATGTGCTACACCAGTCCAACAAAAATCAGAATATTTTCCAATATTTCTTCTTTAGGATATCCTTTGCAAATCACAGGTTGAACAGGAACAGGTGATGAATTCATTTTTCACCTTCACCCCACAGCTGCTTCACATTCCTTGATTGCCCATTGTTCCACCATTTATGAGTTGGCTTGCCTTCAAAGTGGCCAATGATACAGACTTGAAACTCCTTCCAAGCCATAACCTTGATATCCTCTATGACTATGAAAAAAGGTTTTCCTATCTTTAAAAGTACCCTCCTTTTCCATAAGCCAAACTAGAATTCTGGCTGCCTCCTTATACAAGGTCCCATTTCTAGCCATTGCCTTGTGTCCAGTTTCCTGTACCTGGCTTCTGAACTCCAGCAGGATTAAACTACTACGCTTTACCATTCAGTTAGAGTAGTTCTTGCAGTAAATCATCATCAGAAGACATTCTAAAAAACTTGCTAAATACTAGATAAGAACTGAGGAAATTGAATAAGGATTTACTTTGGAAAAAAAAAATCATTTATTAGAGTCAAGTACAAAATTGAATAATCATGCCTAGTTTAGAAATCTTACTCTTAGGTTTAGTCTAATTACCCCAAAGGTCTATATATATACAAAATTTTGGATGGAAAGGAATGACCTATAATCAGAAATCAGTAACCTAGAAACTTCACAAACTTGACTTGATATATCCCCATGGTGGTTCCTGATCCCCTCTAGAGTTTCTGCATCACAACTAATCTTTTGGAGGATCATGCTCAATGGGAGAAAGAAAAAAAAAATAGTTTCCCCAGTAATGATTCTCTCTAAAGTTGCATCCGTACAACAGAACCAGTAATAATTTTTATTTGATTGGCAATTTTAACCACTTCAATGCAATCTTAGTTTCAATTTTCAAATCCTTTTGCATTATCTCCCACAAGCCCATTCAAAAGCTTGCTTTATGATCTCCCTAGAAAACAAAAACCAGAACCCATTATCAACTGAGAATATTGTGCCATGACCTTGTAATGCAAGTTATAGAGATGTTTTCTGATTCACATTCATGTTCTGCCTGATTTTATGATAGATGGGGCCATATTTCTAAGCATTTCATATTTTCAGTGTAAAGAGTTATATAAAAATCATATAAATTCTTCTAAGACAGGAAACAGATCAATTACGCCCAAATATGACAATAACCAGCTGACTGGAACATGCCTGTTCCTTGAAAATAACAGTAGCAGCATCTAGAAGAAATTCTCGAGCAAGTTCAGGACTCTTCGCATGCTTTTGGGGACGCGAGCCTTCTCCATCCAGCTCATTTCCATCCTTGTCCATGGAATCATCATCCTGCAAGTGCATATGGCCACAAAGCACCAAAGGAAGCATCTTACATATTTTGCTGAAGGAATGCAGTACAAAGAATTGAACTGCCAGTAAAAATAATAGTAAACAGGTTTAAGTTCTTCACTACCTCTTCTTCCTCTGTTTCTTCAGCATGCTCAAAAAACCTTCTGATACTTTCCCCTTTTGTTATTGTAACAAGTCCATCTCCAACGACAAGCCTCTGATGGACACATGGCTTACCCTTCAACGCATGGGCTTTAACAGAAAGTTCAGTGCAACGACCATCTAGCTTCCAAGCCCTTAATGTTATAAAGCATGCACTCAAACCACCAAGGTCAAGGCCATTTGCTTGGACACTTCCATTCATGCCAACATCCTCAAACTCTAGAATGTCAGATTTTCCTTCTCCTGTTCCAAGAGCCCATTCAAAGTGATGGTATGTTCCAACATTTTCTGTGAAGGACAGGTGCCAATCAGCATGGACTGAATCATCAGATACCTGGAAAGAGTAGAGCATGATTTCAGGTCTTAGAACAAAAATAGAAGTCTTGACATATTCTTTCATAGAAAAATCATCATCCCGTTACTTAGCTCAAGCAGTCATGTTTTTTTGGCCACTCACGCATTCTAACTTTATGATTATATACTATAGACAATTTAGAAAAACAAATGTCACCTGATGTAGATCCAATGAATGAGGTTGTGGAAGGAATAACTACTAAGGTTATCCATTGGTTGAAATCCTGTGATCTTTTTAAGGATTTCTCAGTTGAAGACATTTATAGAAGTTGGGGTATTATGCCATCTACTACTACTTCCAAAGCTATGATACAGGAGGTTTGGTCCCCACTGGCACAACAAAGGGTGAAACTGAACTTTGATGGAAGCTCTATAGGTAATCCAGGCCCATCTGGTATAGGAGGTGTTTTCAGAGATAATGGCTTTGTTTTCAGGTCCAATAGGAGTTGGAGATTCCTTAAGAGCGGAAATCTTGGCACTACATCAAGGTGTAAAACTGGCCAAACAGTTGGGGTTACAGCAGATTGAGATAGAGGGAGACTTCAAGTTGGTAATTGGGTGGATGCAATCAGGGCAGCTGGGAATTTGGCAATATAGACAGCTGATAAGGGAAATTCTTAGCATAACAAGGGAGGTGGGTGTTTGGTTCAAGTGGGTAAGGAGATCAGCAAATGGTTTTGCTGACGCCCTAGCAAAAGAAGGGACTGCAGGGGAGAGTCTTTTTTGGGCAGTGCTGTAATGTTTGATGTTTATTGGATCAACCTTTTCTAATAAGGGTTGAATTCTGTATTTCAGGTTAATTTATCTCTAATGAAAGTTATCGTTTCTGATAAAAAAAAAACAAATGTCACCTGAATATGCCAAGCCACATCATGACAACAAACCACAAAGGGACAATGTAGATAGATGAAGTATGTCTAACAAAAATAGAGGAAAATGCACCTCATATTGGAAAGCTGTATCTGCAACACAAAACCAACTGGTGCAGCGAGGTTCCCTCCTCATGCGCTTCAGCTCCTTCAGCTCTTTGAATTCACGAATAACATTCCTTCTGCAATCTCTGCAAAACCTCTTGCTATCAAACCTGTGGCATGAACCTCTTGCTATCAAACCTCTTGCTATCATTCCTTCTTAAAACTGTTTTTTTTTTCTTTTTTGGGAAAAACAAGTTTATAAGACTGTTAAAAGTGATAACATGATATAATGCATTACATGAACATCAGTTGGTCTTGCAGTGCAATAGCTAAGGACATACATTGCAAATATTTAACTGATCACTAGAAGAACTCACAAGTTGGTTATTAGCAGCACTGTGTAGACAAAGGTTTGTTTTTAGTTATCTTCATACTGGAAAAAAGATAAGTTTCCATTAATCTTTGCTCCATTTAGACAAATTTTTAAAAACTTCACATTTACATAACTTCTCTTAGGAAGGTCCACAAAATACTCTGTAGTACGTATCACTGTCTAAGTCATGCCTAACATGTTGGCCATTAACTCAAGAGAACCTTCTAGAAGTGACTTGACAAATCATTTCTGCTTCTCCTAAAGATTCTAGAAAACAAAATTACATAGGAATGGAGAAGGTTGAGATGGATTTAAATACAGTACCATATTAAAGTGCCTTATTCTTTTTTCCTTTTAAAAAAAAGAACAGAAATATCTTTTGGATCAATAACAGCATTTTATAAGTAGAAGAAGAAAAATATAAAATCCCATAAATATGTAGTACGAATAACAGATAACTATATTGTCCATAAAATACAAACAACACAAGCTAAATTAACCAAATACCAAATGAAAAGGAAGAAACTTCATAAATTCATAATTTGCTTCTCAACTTGTACATTTTCCAACAAAGTGAACATTGCTCCATTGAGAACAAGTCCTCCACATAAACTACTAACTGTTGGCTATAACAATTTTCCTGATGCTGGGTATTCACAATTCATATGAACCACCATATATGCTCAATGTCCTCCAGGTTTGGCTTTTCCAGGCTTATTATCAAAATATTCATTCATAATAATACAGAAGAATTTTTGAATTGTCTCTAAACATTTTCCAATGCAAATACTGAAAATGGTTAGTCTTTCAAGCTATTTATTCTCACTTTCCTATTGTTGTCACCCTTGGGCCATCAGCATTAGAGCCTCAAAGGCTCAAACTACCATGTACTTTCTTGTGCCAACTACTTGTAATGGTTTTGAAAACTAGATGGTAAGCACTAGAAATTTACAGATCAAAACATACCTATACATGAGCCTCTCAATAAAATCCTCTTCTTTCATTTGTAGAAGAGATTGACGAGTCTCATCTCCAAGTGCTGACCAGAAATCTACCAGCGTGTCACAAGAAAGTCTGGCTGTATGCAAAGCACATGTTTCTCTAGTTCCATGCCCCCTGCCATAATTAGCAACTCCTTGGCTTATCCACCCCCTACCTCCCCCACCACAGGCATCAGGGTAAAGCAATTCCCGCTCCCGTTCTCTGGCACGCGCACTATCAAAAACCTGAAACAAATGATAAAATGTCAAAACTACATAAAAGAGCAAGTCTGGGGAGAAAACTGGGATCTTATCAGATTATGAGGAATCATTAGACTGACATTTTGAAGTGGCTTGAGTGATTTTGCCTCTATAAAGCAGTCCAAAAGTGTTAGCATCCCATCTCGAGTTGCAGCCAAACCTCCCCAAGGATGAACAGAAGGATCTTGGAAGTCATCATGACAGCTCAAAGGCGAAATATTCAATCCACTATCATTCTGAATTTTCAAAGTTCCTGCTCTGCTGCTGGGAAGGTGTCCATCTGCACCTTCCTGCTGCAAAGACTTCCCATACATGACAATCTGCGAAAAACTTTCCAGCAGCAAACCATTGCATCTAGAGCAGTAAAGGTTCTTACGAGCTTGTTCAAAGAGTGTCTGTTTATCAATCCTCAGGAGTTCCTGCCTAGCGTGAGGGGGCAGCTCACTCCAGAACTACACCACAAGCAGAGAACAAAGTGTTAGTGCATAGTCCACTTCAGAACTACATCATCTTTTCCACGAGCTATCCATTAAATAAAGTCACGAACAAAAGGGCAGCTTATCTAATCAACCCTGCATTAGCTCTAAAACTAATCATCGCAGATTCTCCACTTCGAATCCAAACTGTAGTAGTATATTTGAGACATCAATAAGGCAGAATCAAAACAAAGAATTAATTGATAATGGCCAAGGCATTCGAGGACAGTAATGCTGTTATCCCGCCACATCCGTTATAAATCACTACAATGCGGCCGGGAAGTGCATAAGATTATAAAAAGTACATATTACTGCAACGGATTCGGAGAATCAAATACAGAAAAAACAAATTAACTGTACTCGTCATTAGACCTAGCACTCTGAGAACACTCTCAACCTATCATTTGAAGTTTGGTATCCAATCGAAGCCCTGGTTTTTCCACCTTGTTTCGTACAGAAACCAATAGATTACTATAATTTACTGGGATTCAAGTTAAAACAACTACTGAGAATTAAAAAAAAAGGTGCAAAATCTAAGACCTTCTGAAGCTGATCGAAGGTTACGTCGTCGCGATGCTTCGACCAGATTCCGTTCTTCGATATCGATCCGGTGGAGCACGACGACGACGAATACAACGAAGACGAAGCATTGCTGAATTGAGCATTTCTCTGCGCTAGTCCGGGCATCTTCAGGCTCTGGAAGATCTAGTTCTCGATCCTCCCATGCTTCTTTCAGCTCCACCGGGTTCACCGCCCGATACAGATCGAAAACCAATCGATGAAGCAACAGGCCATGCGGATACAATGCAACAATGCGCGATTCAACGCGCGAACGCCGATAGAACGTTCGGAGATCGGAATCCAATTATTCCAGATTGAAACGAATCGATCCTGAGCTGAATCCGATTGCTTTGTGATAAAAATCCAGCGAGTTTGTCAGATCGGAGGCCCGGGCGATCAAGAAGAAATGAAATTTAGGGGAAATATTGAAGGAAAAAAGGGAGGCGACAGAGGCGTCTTTTTGTTGATGAGATTTGGTGCTTTGTGTATTTGTATCATACCGGGGGAGAGAGATGGAGAGAGAGAGACTCTTATCGTGGTTAAAAGCTAAAGAGAGATAGAGAGAGAGCAGGAGACGGTCGTTTTATTAAACTTGTGTAATTCTTATATATCACAGGGTCAAAAAAGATAATACGCACGAAGGCACAATATATACGCTTATCATTAGGTATGATTGTGAATGGAAGAAACGAGGAACAATAAACCCCCGGAATAGATTAGTATTTCTCAGGCTGTGTTACAATAAAACCACTAGCGAGTAGTGATTTTGTCAGTTTCAAAATAAGATGGAGAGACTTCAGTCTAACGTGCGCGCGCGGGCAACAAAGCCGGTGGTTACCCACTTCAGTTTCAATATCACAAGGCTGCGCCCAAAGTAAATCTTCTTCTATGTACATAGTGACGCCGTGTCGATGTGTTTTCGCGACGCGCTCGTGTACCGTCTCTCTGACACACGTATGTTGTTTTTCTGTCAAGCATAGCCATCATCAGAGCCACTAAAACAGTGGGCCCGTCATATTACATGTACATGATAGATTGGGTGATGAGTAATCTTTAATGGGCTCCATCTTGAGATAACGAGATGGATTCGACGCATATTTGATAACGTCATGATAGCACAGAGCAATGGATTAGATTCTTGTGGTACGTTGATGATACCATATAACCATAGTACCAGTAATATGGAAGCGGCCTTTTACCACTGTCTGGAGAAAACGAGAAGAAACGACCCAATAGACGAAAACGACGCGATAATTTGCGGTTTGAGAAACAGGTTTCCGAGTTGAAATCGAATCGAAGCCCGTAAATAGAAAATTGACAATAAAAATAACTAAATAAATAAATAAGAACAAAAACAGCTCGGACGGAATTGAAGAATGAAGACGGTGGACGAGAAAGTGTCTTTATTCTGAGTCATAGTGTTGTCATTTTGTCGAAAGATGAGGAGTTTTGTTACTATAAATTTGGTTCAATCACTGGCTTTCGCACGTAAGGCTGTTTCTTTACTTTCTAAATTCTAACATCTGTGTGGGGTCCCACTCAATCTTGAACTTGTACGAGGGCGATTTGGCCTTTGATGCCAATCCCACGGTTAAGGAGTAACCACAGCGCAGACCTGACTATACGCTACTCGAAGCAGCGGTGAACGGGCCGCGAGTGAAGAAACTTGAATGACAATTTTACCCTCTACGAGTAGTAAAGTGGAGCACGGCGTCAGGCGCTGCCAATGTTTCTCTCGTGAGACTGGCTTCTGGTGACCAGCGAGATGTAATCTTCAACCTTTAATTGGTCAGAAATCCAAAACCCACTTAAGGCGTGGATAATGCCAAGAGGACTACGTGGCAAAATGTCTAAGGCCTGTTTGGCTCATGGGAATAGGGTCTGGAATTGGAACTGAAACGGGCCATTCCGATTCCAACTGTCTTGGTTGGGTGGAATCGAAATTCCATTCTCATTCTTGGTACTTTAGGGAATGGTCATTTCCTCCCCTTTCCTTGAAAAGGAGAATCCAGTCCAGTTTATTCTAATTTTGATTTCAATTCCCATTTCCTCTCTAAGCTAAACAGGTGGGGGAATATATCATTCCAATTCCAATTCCAAATTCTGATTCTGATTCTGAACTGCAAATCAAACAGGCATTTAAATGTGTGTAAGAGAGAGAGTATGGTGAGTTAGGTCATCCCACTGATTGCACCAACCCTTTGTTTAGCTCTTTGTTTGGCAATTCAGGTTAATAGTGTGGATTATGTGCCTAGGCAAATCAGGTTATTTAGCTCTTTGTTTGGCAATTCATGAAAGCAAATTGGACTTCTATTTTTCGGGAGTGATATGATTGTATGCTGCAATGGTGGCAGCCTCCTAAAATCGCAACGGATGTAAATTAAACGATGGATTTTTTTTTTCAATCTTGAACCAGAAAATTAACCGCTGGAAGCAATTTTTTCAAATCATTGTTGACCGGGACGATCAAAATGGTGATCCAATGACCCGGACAAATGACTTTTTGATAGCCCAAACAAATGACTAATTGCCAGGTTTTGGATGCTTTTGATGGATTATTATTTTACCGCACAACGGGCCAGGGACCACTTGGGCAGTTTTCTGGGTCACGCCTATGCCGGCTCTTGTACCCGCTCGATCAGGGCAGCTTCTTTGACCATTGGTCGGGTTCGGGGTGGGTATTAAGAAAAGCCGAAACTATTCTGTATGAGGATAGGTCCTCATCCCCACCCTACCCCAAGTCTGCCACATACACATTTTGACTGTTCTTATATGTATATATTATTTACTAAGATGGGATATATAAAAAGTGACTTGATAATTAATAAATCAAAGTAGATACATGTCCTTAAAAATTAAAATATAAAAATAAGTTTCAATAATTTATGAACTAACGTATCAAAAAAGTTTTTAATTGTTTTTCATATATATCAAGAAAGTTTCAATTCTTTACATTTACCCAATTACCATGGCTGTCAATGGTCGGGGCAGGGCATAAGGGTGTCAATGGACTGGTTTGGATTGGGCCTCGTCCAGTCCAAAATCAATTTGGACGAATTGGATAGACCAACAAAATATATTAGATTGGATCAATTTGGTCCAAAATATTTATTAGATTGGATTGGTCCTGGTCCATCTGTAACAAATTTATATTGGATTGGATTGGATTAAGCCAATATCTGGTTTATTAATATAAGATATGAATATATGTGTCAATAGATTGGGTTTGGGTTGAAACCAATCTAAATCAAAATGAATTTAAACAGATTGGGCGGTTCAAATATTGAATTGAACCTATCCAAATTGGTTTAAAACATTCATTGAATTGGATTTCCATCTATAATGAATTAATATTGGACTAGATTGAATTGGACCAAATCCAGTCCAATCGACAACTCTAACGGGGCAGGGAAAATTCAGAAATCCCCATTCCATGTGGATACGAGGATGGGGCTGGAATTTCTGTACCTGCTAGAATAGGGGTACGGTACATGTATTCAGGGTCAAGGACGGAGTATGAAAACCCCAGCCCAACCCCACTCGTTGCCATTCCTATTAATGTCTCTATTCATCTAGTACATGCAAATAGCTAGCTCATGGAAAGGAATTCTTTAAAAACAAATGAGATGTTGCAATCTAAGACTGAAAGGTAATTGGTTAATTCCAATTGGAAGCATTTGGGCTCGCTGAAAATAAAACGAGTCCGTGTGTACTACCATGCCATTAAGGTCATTTACATGTCTTATTACATTAATAGAGGAACTCCAATGTTTAGAGAGCAAGATCGAACTAGCTAGTTGGATTGGAAAACTTGTAAACCACTCCATTGGCCGGTTCAACCATTACCCGAAAAAAATGAAAGTCAACAAATGGACAAAATTGACCAGTCGGTCAATCCAACTAGATAACCAACCTTCTTTTACTTATATGTGAACTTCTGCAATAATGTCTCAATATTTTTGCCGTAACGGCATTTTTTTTGCCTCAAGTCATAATTTTTAAAATTAAAAAATACATAAATTTGATTTAATTTGGTTGGTGTACGGATGCGCGGTGAAACCAACACGGTACATTATTGGTTTAATGCACCTATTCTATATTTGGGACATGTGTCATTTCTTTTCCTTCTAACTTCCTTCTCCCACCTTTCATCCTTTATAATTCTCCTATCAATGTATCCCTGAACCAATTATTATTTACCATCATACCATCGTATAAAACAAAATTATTGATGATATTTGACATCTTTCTCATCCCCTAAAATATCTCTCTCTCAATTCATTCTCCTTTCCCTCTTCCAATTCTCTCCCCTCTTCATTCTCTCAATTCTCATCATATCAAATCTCTACCTCTCTCTCCCTCTCTCTCCTCCATTAATATCAACTCGGAACAAGAACCACTTTGGCCATTAGTTTTTGGGGCAATGCCTTAATCATTCGATCCAAATAAATCAATTCATGATATTTAAAATATAAAAATAATTACAATACAAATTTGGCTCAAAAWTTGTTGTTTGGGTTGAATGAGTAAACAGTTCTTGCCTTGATCAGCAGATTGATGACCAATTCAACAATTTTTTGAGAAAATCATTATTGTGTGTATCAAGCAGGTCAACAGTTTGACCACATGGGTTAATTGGTTGTTGACCAATTCAATAATTTGTAGGAAAATAGCAATTTAGGGGTGAAATGGAATCAATACCCTAACTAGTTGATGGGTCGAATGGTTCAACTGTCTAGGTCAGCATGGTTTGATCATCCATCTTTCTCTTTAAGTTAAATTCTTATATGAATACGATATGTTTGATGCTTCAGGTTGGGTGGTTCAACCATCTAGTCTGAAAAAATCAACATATGATTTAAAAAATAAAAAAGAGAATTAATTACAATATAAATATGGCTTGAAAATTGTTGTATGGGTAACAAGTTAACAATTCGATCACCGGGTTTAGTAGGTCGATGACCAATTCAATAGTTTTTGAGAAACCATTATTGCATGAGTCAAACAGGTCAACATTTCAACCACATAGGTCAGCAAATTGTTGACCAATTCAATAGTTTTTTGGAAAATAACAATTCAGGGATGAAATGGAATTGGTACCCTAACCGTTTTCCAAGTTGAATGATCTGATTGTCCAGGTCAATGATGGTTTGAAAACCTTGAATCCCTTTCTCTTTCAATGGGGCATGAAACTGAAAGAGGGACTAAAAATCTCCCTACAACAAACAAAAACTAAATTAAAAATAAATGAATATGGTACTTACTTGGGAATTCTTAACTCCCTCCTCTTAAGTTAAGGTTGGAGACATGAATTGAATCCTTATGTACTTGAAGTTTTCATGAACCAAACCTTGAGTCGAACCAAACCATAATCTCATATCCAAAAATTGAACTAGAAGTCCCTTGACTCTCTAGAGAGAGAGAAAGAGAATTTATCTTTTACCCTTATGGTATGTTTGGTTGCTGTGATGGAGAAGGGAAAATGAGAATATCCCCATAAGATTCTGGTTTTTCAACGTTTGTTCAAAGGGATGGGAAGGGAAACGTGT